TCAGGAGGAGGTTTTGGTCTTGGAAATACAACTAATGCCAGTGGCAGCTTATTCCCTGGTTTTGGAACTTCTCAACCTTCAGGAGGAGGTTTTGGTCTTGGAAATACAACTAATGCCAGTGGCAGCTTATTCCCTGGTTTTGGAACTTCTCAACCAACAGCAACTACTATACAAGGCTTTTCTTTTGGTGGCTTAGGAGCTGGCACTAGCCTATTACAAGCAGGAAACACATCTACAGGTTTTTAAACTTGATCCACTTTATGGGTAGAAGGGGGGGGGGGGGGGGGGCAAATTTAGCTCTTAGAACCAAGATGCAACGAATAATAGTTCTAGTTCTAATCTATGATCACATCAATAGGGACTACCACTTTGAAGACACCATTTAACTGGACAGCAACAACAGGAACACCAGCTACTACGCAACCATCGTTTCCGAGTTTTGGCAGCATAAATACACAAGTGCCTACAACGGCAGTGGGTTTAGGAACTAATGCGTAATGTCAGAATCTTATCATTTTATGAGTTCAAAACCAAAATTTGATCCAAAAATATTAATAATAATCAATGGTTAATGTCTACTAGCGGCCAAATTGACATTAGGAACATCACAAAAGCAACAAGATTTTCTGATTTACCGCCGGAAAGTCAAAAGTTTCTTGCAAATTTGGAGTATGTTAAAATTATTTTTCTTTTCAAAGCTTCGGTTATTTTAAAATAAACATAAAGTTAATTCTATATATATTTTGTTTATTAGTAATCACATACAACAACAGAAACGACAGATGTCGACTATTGGTTCTATGATTTTACCAAGTGTCAAACAGCAAATACAAGATGTTTTTAACGAATCACGAATATTATTTCAGGTACTCAACCGTAATCATTATCGCACTCGTCAATTTACATTCTATTTATTAAACATATACCATGTAGAAATTGGCCCAATTGACTAATGACTTGCAAAGCGATCATCGCCTCGTAAACGATTTGTTATCAGAAATTGATGTTCAAATAGGACTTGTGGACAATGCTCGTCGATTTTACGACGCTGCATCACAAGGACTAAGCAACGCAATTATGCAAATTGGTGACAATGTTTTTTCCAAGTAAGATTATTTTTATCAAATTATTCTTAACACATAAGGGAATTTTATCTGAATTATTTTTCTGTTTAACATTCAAAGATTTTATTATGACCTTATAGTATCGTTTGAGAATCGGCTGCAACAATATGATTCATACATCGAGGTTAGTCTTCTATTTACTAATATATATCAGTAAACTTACCATGTTTTTTGGAATTAAGTTTTTACCATAACCATAGGAACTGGAACGTCATTTTGCGTGGTTGTATCAAAACGCTGAGGGTAGAGGCAATGGTAATTATAGAAAATTTACGAAATTTACGCGTTCTATTATGTTAAATATTATTCATTGGTTTTTTTGAATCTTTTCAGAACAAGATCTTATAGCACTCACGGAAACTATGCGTAATCAACACGGTAGTTTTATGGCAATTACTGGAAAAGTTGCATTGCTACATGAAGGTGTAGAAAAATTACGTCAAAAATATCTTAATTATCGACGTAATGCTCTACAAGACAATGTCAACCCATTTGATAGACAAGATTCACGACTAAAAAATGGTAGGTTAAAATAGGTAATAGAAAATCTATATAATTATGTTAACCTATTTTATTCAAAATAGCCGCTCCTGGTTTATCCCTCACTGAAACCATGTCGCCGAGGGAGTTGGCACAAACAATCTCGAGTAGGGTTGGTAAAGTTCTTAGGCCCGGGACTTTAGGACCTGGTCTTTAAACCTGGTCTTTAAAGTCCAAATTTAAGGACCTAGGGTCCTTAGGTCTTTAAAAATTCCTAATATACAAATTTATAATTGCATAATTCTGGACAGCCTAATCAATATATATATATAGAGTATAATTTCAATAAAGTTTTAAAATGTGTAGTTTAAGATCATAATCATTTATTTAATGTATATAGTTTATATAATATTGTAATTACACATTCTGACGCTAATAGGTATGTACAATGTGAAGGATAACGTGAACTAGCCGCAGCAAAAAAAACGTGATCTAAGCCATAATAGTGTCGATTAGTTACGTTTTTGGTAGATCTGCGGCAAAAGTTAACTCCCTAAATTGAGGTGGCGTTCTTGATGCATCATATTTGCATAAAATTTAATTTTTTCAAAAGTTTAAGCAGATATCTCGATGACCGCCAATTAAATTCAATAAATTTTTTTTAATTTTCATTCTTCAGCTATGTAGAAACGAAATAAAATAAAATTTATCGAATTTAGTTGGGTGGTTGTTGAAATAGCTTTGCTCAAAGTCATAAAAAATTTTTTCGCTGTTATTTTGATAGATGCTTTAATGTTTTCGAAAATTTGAGCGACGATATCTCAGCAACCACCTAGCCAAATTTGGTGGATTTTTTTTATTTTGATTCTACAAATATATGAAAACAAAATAAAAAAGATTTATCAAATTTAGATGGGCGGTTGCCAAGATATCTTTACTCAAAGTTTTATAAAGATTTTGCTTCGGCTGTTTTGATAGACGTTTTTATATTTTCAAAACTTTGAGCGAAGATATCTCAGCAACCAACCAACTAAATTCGATGAGATTTTTTTATTTCGATTCCACAAAAAAACTAAAAAATAAAAATAAAAAAATTATTTGATTTTAATTAGGTAGTCGTTGAGATATCTTAGCTTGAATTCTTGAAATTTTACAGAAATATGATGCATCAAGAACGCCACCTCAATTTAGGGGTAAATTAGACCTACCAAAAAAGTAACCGCAGATCTACCACAAACGTAACTTTTGCAGCTCGGGGCTTCCTTGCTTGTCCCATGCTCCGGCATGTACAAAGTTTGACCCAAACATCGCCTGCATCCCATAAGGGTCGGGAGAATTTTCCATCGCTGTCCTTGGCCTGTCACCAGCTACCCGAAAAACATCAAGTCCCTCCGAAAAACTCTCATCTTGATTTCCAAGAGGTTGTGGCTGTATATTCTTTCCTTTTTCTGGCAGCTCAGGTTCACTAATAGACACATCTGGCCCCATCCGGGCTCTACTTTCCCTTGCCAACCTAGCCCGCATCAGATACACCCAACCCAGATAACCCTCAACGATTCCATCAATAGACGTTCCAGGTTTGATTCCAAACTTGCTTGCGTTGTGTCAAGTTGGGCTGAAGCATCATTAGAAACTGCAGGGTTTAATTCCCTATTCGACGTCGACATGACAACTTTCTATCGTATAATGAAAAGAAAGATCCTGACTCAGGCAAAAAATAGGTGTCGCATGAAACGATCTAAGTTTGTTTTTACTTTAGATACGGCAAGCAAACACAAAAGCAGTTACTTCGCTCTTGTCTAATGGAAAGAAAGATTCTAACTTAAGTAAGAAATAGGTGCCAAACGAAAAAACCAAATTAGCAAAAAAAACAGAAATTACCTTTTCTGGAAAAAACCCCGTTCCTTAATCTCTAATATTACGTTATTACGTCATAAAATCAATACGAAATCATACAATGCATCAAACGACAAAATCATATCAACAATACACCCGACTTTCATATCGGGCAGCTAATTAATTATAAATTTTATAAATTAAAATATTTAATTTTTTCTATATTGTATCGAGTTTGGGGATTTTTTTTTATCTTTACCATTTTTGAAAGCTCATAGTAGTGCCCATGTCTGAAGTCCTGGTAAATTCTATAATAACTGAACGGCTTAACGTTAATAAATTTTATTCTAATGAATTCAGAAATCCAGATTTTCTGCCTTGTTTTAGGAGACCCCATTGAAAAATCTTTCCCGACTGATATCAACAAACACATGACCGTTGGTCACTTAAAATATCTCATTAAGAAGAATAAGGAGCCTCATTATAACAATATCTCCGCAGACGAATTTGAACTATGGAAAGTGGATATTCCTCAAAGCAAAAAAAATCAAGAAATGATAATACCCGTCGGTACTAACATCAAAGAAAAATTCGATGGTAAAAAAATTGGCTTCATTCGAATTTATAAGCAACCATTTTCCCGAATCTAGTATTAATGTTCGAATAATTGTACAACCGCCCTCTACCAGCGGTAAGTGTTTCAATATTTTACCTCTCGAGGAAATTTAGTCATCATTCTTTTATTCGATCAGGAAAAAAAGAAACAGAAGACTCGGACGAAAATCGAAGCAAAAAGAAAGAATATCCTTCAGAATCAAAAGAAGGTCGTGATAGCCTTTTTGTTATTTCAGATGAAAGACTGGATATTATCATTGAATTTGTGAAAAAGAATCGTGTTGGTCTTTTGCGCAGTCCTCCATCATCGGGAAAGACCACACTTGGTCAGACGCTCCGAGACTATTTCATTGAACGCAACCATATTGGTGTATACATTAGCCTTGCTAGTGTAAGTGGTAGAGGACAAGTGGGCGAAAATTTTTTCGAGGAGTTCTGGAAGAAAGAAATTGGTTATACCTGGACAGAAATCAGCGATAGCACAAAGACCATTTACGTTTTCATCGACGAGATACAGACAATTTATTGTAACCGTGCTCAGTACTTTTGGGGTAAATTGAAGGCACTTATGTCAAGCGAGTGCAACAAAGATATTCATATATTTCTTCTCGGCATGTACGATCCAACACTTGCAAATGAAGCGACACTAGTGAAATTTAATGACAATGATACTCTTAGTTTAAAAACCCTACTTCTAACAAAGAAAGAGTTCAAGCTTCTTGTAGAAAAGTATGTTCAGACTCATGTCTTGGGGAGTAGCTCAATGTTCAACATTCCTGAAGCTATTGCAGATGCGATCTTTTGTCTCACTAATGGACATCCTGGTTTGTGTAGATTTATTCTGGATTCTCTACACACTCGTTATAAAAATGGAGCTTCAACAGTGGATATGTTGCGATATCTTGCGTCATCAAACCTAACATATAGTGTTGCAACGGGTTCACGTGCTTTTTATTGGATCGACAACTGGAATCCAACCTCAGATGAAATTGGATTTATTCGCAATAAGCTACTTATCAATCGAGATGAAAGTCCCTTTTCTGTTGCTATAAATCGGATCTTGTTGCCAAGAATTTTATTAGAACAGGTCTCTTCGCGATGGATTCTGGACAAATACAATTTACTGCCCCTATAATGCGAATTGTTCTGTGCCATCGTCTGTTCACCTCTTCTGGTTTGAAATTATATACAACAAACTTTGATGAGTTTTTGACTCGGTCCATTGAGCGCATGAGACCATCTAAGTTGTCTAATTCACTTGGAAGAGGTTGGTCTGATTCACGTTTATTTGAGAGAAGTTGGCAAATGGAATGGTATCATTCTGCTACAAGTGTTGTCCCAATGAATACATCAATAAGTGCTGATGTTGGTTCTGTGTTTGGCTCAGCTGGTTTTCTGGATTTCTACGTTAATGGAGAAGTTTGCTGGGGGATTGAATTGATCCGTGAGGGTGATCGTTTGAAGGAACATGCCAAACGATTTGAAAAAAGATGGAGAGTATACTGGAATTCCATTAAAAAAATGGGCCATTATTGACTTCCGACACCATAAAAAACAAGTAAGGGAATTAAAATCAAACTTCTGGTATGTGCTCTACACAGATAACTATAAACAAGTTACTATCAAACGTCAAGAGCATGAGGACGTATCACTTGACTTACAAGGCGATAATATGTAATTTTGGGTGGTACACGAAGAAATTTCAAGCAATTCATATTACATAGAAATTAAAATATGCTAATGAAGATAGTAAATCGGTATTTATTTTAAAACAAAAGAAAATTATTTTGATTTGACATTGCAATCCAAATCCACTACACATTGTTAAATAATAAATAAATAATAATAAAATGAATGGATTATTGAGTTTTAAGGGAGGCCCTAACCCATAAAATAAAAGTTTCTTTCCACTACTCTGTATTATTAGCTAAGTTAAAATTATTTTTGCTATCTATCCAAGCGCCTATTTTATTTAAAGTACTATCTTTAAAATCACTATTATTATAATATAAATTTTTTATAGTTTCTTTACTAATTTTTTCTATTCCAAAACCATGAATCTCAACAGATACTTATTACACATACAGGGGGGTGGAATGATGAGATGGTGGATCTCGTTCGTGATTCAGTAAAACATCCAAATTCATTAACAGTATTACTTACCGGA